TTCAGCCGCTTCTAATCTTAAGCATCATTTGAGGAGCCATACAGGAGAGAAACCTTATTTGTGGTGTGTTTAGTATTGTTCTGATCAGTTTAATACCTTCCGCGTCTCCTATCAGTGGACGTGTATATGGCAGCCATTTTAGGAACCGTACACCTGGGACCCGAGCAAGGTCACCTCGTTCAACAGGCTTGCAGCGTATCCTCCAGGAAGAAGAGCCTGAACCCTTACCGGCTGCACGTGTCTTACCTGTACATGGAAAGCTGCTGTAGTTCCTTGATGAGCCAGCTGCCCGTGAGTTAACATGTCCCGTGGAGAAGCACTCTGTCCTGTAAAGCCTCACCAAAAAAAAGGAGTGGTGTGTTTAGTATTGTTCTGATCGGTTTAATACCTTCCGCGTCTCCTATCAGTGGACGTGTACACGGCATTGATTTTTATCTAAGCCGTAAACTTTTGCATAGCGAAGTAGATTCACTGCCATTGAAAAAGAGTGCATGGCGGTGGTGTGGGCCCTCAAAAAGCTGCAACCTACTTGTATGGACAACCGTTTACCTTACTCACAGATCACAACAAATTTGGGGCACTGCGCGTGCAATCTAATGTGGCCTAGATAGCTTAGTGGTGTTTGGTACTATTTTTATCAGTTTAATACCTTCAGCGTCTCCTATCAGTGGATGTGCGGCATTGATTTTAACAGGAGATGGAAGAAGAGGCTTAGTGGAATCTCTTACTGCAAATTTGGGGCACTGCGCGGTCAAGCTAATGTGACACCAGATAGGAGTGGTGTGTTTAGTACTATTTTTATCAGTTTAATACCTTCCGCGTCTCCTATCAGTGGACGTGTACACGGCATTGATTTTTGTAACAGGGAGATGGAAGAAGAGGCTTGGTCGGTCCTCTTACTGCAAATTTGAGGCACTGCGCGGTCAAGCTAATGTGACACCAGATAGGAGTGGTGTGTTTAGTACTATTTTTATCAGTTTAATACCTTCCGCGTCTCCTATCAGTGGACGTGTACACGGCTTTGATTTTTGTAACAGGAAGATGGAAGAAGAGGCTTGGTCGGTCCTCTTACTGCAAATTTGGGGCACTGCGCGGTCAAGCTAATGTGACACCAGATAGGAGTGGTGTGTTTAGTACTATTTTTATCAGTTTAATACCTTCCGCGTCTCCTATCAGTGGACGTGTACACGGCATTGATTTTTGTAACAGGAGATGGAAGAAGAGGCTTGGTCGGTCCTCTTACTGCAAATTTGGGGCACTGCGCGGTCAAGCTAATGTGACACCAGATAGGAGTGGTGTGTTTAGTACTATTTTTATCAGTTTAATACCTTCGGCGTCTCCTATCAGTGGGCGTGTACACGGCATTGATTTTTGTAACAGGGAGATGGAAGAAGAGGCTTGGTCGGTCCTCTTACTGCAAATTTGGGGCACTGCGCGGTCAAGCTAATATGACACCAGATAGGAGTGGTGTGTTTAGTACTATTTTTATCAGTTTAATACCTTCCGCGTCTCCTATCAGTGGTCGTGTACACGGCAGTAATTTCTGTAACAGGCAGATGGAAGAAGATGCTTGGTTGGTCCTCCTAACTGGAGACTGTGTTGCTGTACGGGTGGCAGGTGGAGCCATTTATAAAGTACACACTGCTTTTATAAAGCCATTTATAAAGTACACACTGGCGGCTTGAACCCTAGTTGGTGGCGGATAAGTCACGCAAGTCAACAGGCATTCAGAGCTAAAATACAGCAGCGTGTGGACCATTTTTAGCCGAAGGCAGCTCATCTCATCAGGCCTTTTTTACATAGGGTCACTTGGCAGATATGGATTGACACCTGTCCTAGGGATCCCTGATACACACTGACACAGATCAGAATAGGGACTGTTCCTCCTACATCGGGTCACTTGGCAGATATGGATTGACACCTGTCCTAAGGTTCCCTGATACACACTGACACAGAGCAGAATGGGGACTGTTCCTCCTACATAGGGTCACTTGGCAGATATGGATTGACACCTGTCCTCAGAGCCCCTGATACACTGACACAGAGCAGAATAGAGACTGTTCCTCCTACATAGGGTCACTTGGCAGATATGGATTGACACCTGTCCTCAGAGACCATGATACACACTGACCTGAATCAGAATAGAGATATTGCACTAACATAGGGTCACTTGGCGAATGTGGATTGACACCTGTCCTAAGGATCTCTGATACACAATGAAACAGAGCAGAATAGGGACTGTTCCTCCAACATAGGGTCACTTGGCAGATATGGATTGACACCTGTCCTCAGAGATCATGATACACACTGACACAGAGCAAAATAGAGACTGTTCCCCTACATAGGGTCACTTGGCAGATATGGATTGACACCTGTCCTCAGAGACCATGATACACACTGACACAGAGCAGAATAGAGACTGTTCCCCCTACATAGGGTCCTTGGCAGATATGGATTGACACCTGTCCTAAAGATCCCTGATACACACTGATACACACCTACTTGGATGGTATAGACATTTTTAGCTGCTCCTGGCCCGAACACCTGACCCACATAGGAGCCGTAATAGACCGGATTAGGGAGTCCGGACTGACCCTAAAGCCAGTAAGTGCCATATAGGAACGTGTAAAAACCTCCCCAAGATAGTAGTATGGGCCCCAGAGTGTGAACAGGCCTTCCAACAGCTCAAGGCGGCGCTCATTAAATCACCTGTACTTTCTTCTCCTGATCCAACTAAACACTTTCTCGTCCATACAGACGCTTCTATGCTTGGATTGGGAGCAGTACTGAACCAAGTCGGAGCAGATGGTGGCGAGCAACCCGGGGCTTATCTAAGCCGTAAACTTTTGCACAGCGAAGTATATTCACTGCCATTGAAAAGGAGTGCATAGCGGTGGTGTGGGCCCTCAAAAGCTGCAACCTACTTGTATGGACAACCGTTTACCTTACTCACAGATCACAACAAATTTGGGGCACTGCGCGTGCAATCTAATGTGCCACCAGATAGGAATGGTGTGTTTAGTACTATTGTTATCAGTTTAATCACTGTTACGCCCCCTATCCGTTGATGTGGAGCAAGACGCAGCAGCAGAAGAGGACTAAGCCGAGGAGGTTATGGAAGAGGATGGAGTAGGAGGAGTAGAGGAGGTGGCAGCGTACTGGCAGAGTACACGCTGTAGGGCTGACACACCTGCTTGAAAGATAACTAACTGCTATTCAATCTATAACAGTGAAAAAAGTTTTTTGTTTTTAAATACAAACTATTGTGACACCAGTGAGTGAGTGGTGGCACTGGGCACAGTATATCCACTGTGAGCCTGAAACACACCCATTTGAGACAACTTAACTTTGCTATTCAATCTATAACTGATGTTTGTTTCACAGGCAGAAAGTGCCCTAAAACATGGCGGCTTGAACCCTAGTTGGTGGCGGATAAGTCACGCAAGTCAACCGGCATTCAGAGCTAAAATACAGCAGCGTGTGGACCATTTTTAGCCCAAGGCAGCTCATCTCATCATGCCTTTTTTAATCTAATGTATGGCCCAGTGTCAGTCCCTTCAGGATCCATCCCTCATTCATCTTAATAAAGGTGAGGTAATCTAGACTTTTTTGACCTAGGCGACTTCTCTTCTCAGTGACAATACCTCCTGCTGCACTGAAGGTCCTTTCTGACAGGACACTTGAAGCGGGGCAGGCCAGAAGTTCTATCGCAAATTGGGATAGCTCGGGCCACAGGTCAAGCCTGCACACCCAGTAGTCAAGGGGTTCATCGCTCCTCAGAGTGTCGATATCTGCAGTTAAGGCGAGGTAGTCTGCTACCTGTCGGTCGAGTCGCTCTCTGAGGGTGGATCCCGAAGGGCTGTGGCGATGCGTAGGACTTAAAGGTCCGCATGTCCTCCATCAACAACACGTCTCTAAAGCGTCCTGTCCTTGCCGGCGTGGTCATGGGAGGGGGAGGATGACTTCCACCTCTCCCCCTGTTAGATTCCCGTTGTGCTGTGACATCACCCTTATACGCTGTGTAAAGCATACTTTTAATTTATTTTGCAAATGCTGCATCCTTTCCGACTTGTTGTAATTTGGTAACATTTCAGGCACTTTCTGCTTATACCGGGGGTCTAGTAGCGTGGACACCCAGTACAGGTCGTTCTCCTTCAGCCTTTTTATACGAGGGTCCCTCAACAGGCACGACAGCATGAAGACCCCATTTGCACAAGGTTGGATGCCGAGCTACTCATTTCCCGTTCCTCCTCCTCACTGATGTCAATGAAGGTATTTTCTTCCCCCCAGCCACGTACAACACCACAGGTACCAGATGGGTGACAACGAGCACCCTGGGATGCCTGTTGTGGTTGGTCTTGCTCCTCCTCTTCCTCCTCCTCAAAGCCACATTCCTCCTCTGACTCCTCTTCCTCCCAATCCTCTTCCAGCGTTGCCGCAGGTCCAGCAAGCGATGCTGATAAGGCTGTTTCTGGAGGTGATGGTGACCACAACTCTTCCTCTTCCTCTTCACGCTCATCTACGGCCTGATCCAGCACTCTTCGCAGGGCACGCTCCAGGAAGAAACAAATGGTATGATGTCGCTGATGGTGCCTTCGGTGCGACTGACTAAATTTGTCACCTCCTCAAAAGGACGCATGAGCCTACAGGCATTGCGCATGGGCGTCCAGTAACGTGGCAAAAAAATTCCCAGCTCCCCAGAGGCTGTCCTAGCACCCCGGTCATACAAATATTCATTAACGGCTTTTTCTTGTTGGAGCAGGCGGTCGAACATTAGGAGTGTTGAATTCCAACGTGTCGGGCTGTCGCAAATCAAGCGACTCACTGGCATGTTGTTT